ACACAGGTGAAGCCAGAGATGCAGAAAATTTCTTAATGAACGATGGCGGCAAACAGTCTGGACCAGGGCCTTTAGAAGGATCTACAGATGAAAGAACTTTCATCGCCTCTTCAACAGATACATCCAACTGCGGCAAATGCAAGTTGTAATGAGCTATGCTGCTCATCCAGTCACGACGATCATCCGGAGAATGAGCGGGAGGGGTAGTCGAAAAAACATTCTTGAAGAATTTTGCGAAGAGATCAGAAACTTCTTCCGCGGAGTCAGCACGAGCTTCTTTATAGGACACATCGAGTGGTATACCGCCATTCCGCCCGAGGGGGACGACTCTATCTACGATACAGGAAATATTGTGTTTTGCTGTGGCTAGCTGCGCGTACGCTGATTATATAGAAAGAAGATTTATCACGATATTGAAGATTTCCTGCAAAAAGATGATGCGCGATGCAAGTAGATGCGAGAAATGATAGAAGATTTTTCGAAGATTTATTCGCTAGTGTGAGATTTTTTTAGCATCTAGAATTGAGATTTAGATGTGCCGCCCCCCTCGATTCCGCCTAAGTTTCTTCACGTAGGTCCAAAAAGACGATGGATCCCGCTTTGCCTCCGACTCAATGCGCAATACATATTTATAAAAAACTGTGTTCAACCGGCTGGTGTAGTGCTCCTAAATGTCGTGAAGTAATCGCCTGTTTTCCTCAGTCCGTTGTTTTAAAAGACGTTTCCTTGCTTTCCGTAAACTGTTTCGGAGGTTCCTAAGTTCCGTGGTCCACCATGGTTGATTGTAGTGAACACGGAGGCAATGTCGTCGAATAGGAGTATATTCGTGGATGATATCGAAAATGGCACCATAAAACCGGAAAACAGCATCGTCAACGTCACAATCAGTCAAAAGCGTCGTCCAGTTTATGAAGCCTATCCGGGCGTTGAATATTAATATTGACAACAGCCAAGGCGATAGTGAAGATACAGCCACGAATGAACAAAAACAAAATGTTGACTTCGATACTCAGAGGTTACCTTGATCAAAAATGTCAAATTTCAAATTCATGCAGGTAGTTGGTCTATCTGTTAAGGTTGTCTTCATTTTCAGCTAAGTTGAGTGTAAAAGAATGATTTTTATCAGCACTGGTCGGTAGTGTATGTATGTAGTTATGTTTTGTTTTCTGTGGCTATTGATTTGAATTAAATTTTAATTTTAATCCAAAGCCGACCCATAACGAATATGAGTCATTTCATCTCAAGTGATTACTTATTTAAGGCCAAAACTAAAAAATCCAAAATTTTATGTTAATCGAACCCCTGGCTCTGGGATTGCCCTCAGTTTTCTCCACACACCAAAATTTAATATCAGATACAAGTCACATTTCAAGAAGAACACGTGAAAAGGGCATGCAAACTTTTGCAGCGTTTGGTGGGACAATGGGAGCGCAAGTCAATCCAAAGCCGAGGATAAAGGAAGGGTAATGGCTGAATAGTCTATGCGGACCACTTGAACGCCATGGGAAAAGGAAGAGATTGAAGAGGTCGGTTATTGGGGGGTTTTGGGGAAATGACACATAGTACTAGATTTGTGCAGTAAAATGTAAAGAAACCGAAAATCCATCTCCCACTGATTCATCCTACACATATATACCAAATTGGTATTTTAAAGCAACCATCAAAATAAACAGACAATATATGAAAAGGCTAGTTGCCTCCCTAAGCGGACCCCCCGCATCCTAACTCTTTTGTTAATCTACTTAATGTTATTAGGCTGTCTAAACTTTCTTATTTAAGTTCGTTTGATGATTATGATATCTCATTAGTCTAATTTAATAAATAATTGAAATCTCTAATTTACCTAATCAATCATAACTCATGCTTTATTAAGTACCTAAACTGCTATGTAATCTAAAATTTAACGTGTTTCAAGTAATTTTGACTTTGATTTATAATCATTATATCTTAGATCGACCCAGGTGACACCTTCAAGTGACTAAAATGCTTCACTTTGAAATTAGTTTCCTAGCTGATTCTTAAATTATACAGAGTATATGCTCCAACTACACTCACACGTTTCCATTATATCGTCCCACAAAATAACGTATGGATATGTCACAATAGAAGCTCGCCACAGTGGAAATTCCGAGCCATAGTTCAAACACTTATCCCAAATCAAAATGAAGCACATATAAGATTAGTTACAATACCATGTACAAAAATGGTTTTTAACATTGTTCCCTGAGTAATGCTTCAATGAAAACAACAATGAAAGCTTGGCACGCAAATAGAAGGAGCACTGTTGGGCACTTTCTGAAATATTTCAATAGTATAATTCCCTTGCAAGCCCAAATAAATCTACCTGCGTAAAAATAAATAAAATCAGAGTGATTTGCGGAAAAACCTACCAGTATCGCACCCAACGTCAGTGCGTATACGTAAGCGTACTACGACGCGGCTTTCAAACAAAGGAGTAACAAGTGTGATACTATCACTTCAGGCTAGAACTTTGGTTCTCTCCTGCAATGGTTCATCAGAGAGGGGAAGCTCAGTAATCCTCATCGCATGCTCATGAAGCTATTCTGTCACGGCATGAGCCAACAATGCCGGACCCAAACCAACCGTCTCCAACACTCCACTATGAAGCATAAGATTAGGCCCGCCCACCAACGTCCAGGTTAAAAACTAGCCAAGGGGAGGAAAAAGGGCATGCAAACTTTTTGTAAATAAGCCTTGTTATGCCCTTTTCCCGCCACCCATATGAGACTAACGCAAATCATCAACATCACCCGGTAGGGGAAACTTTTCCCTTCCCGATGATGTTGTTGGTTTGCGTGAGCGACCGTCGGTTGGCGAGAAAAGGGCCTACGGAGGATTGTTTATAAAAAGCTTGTATGCCCTTTTCACATGTGGCTCTTGATTTGGTACCCTTTTTGAAACATCTTGAACGTACAATAACATTTTGTGATCGTATTTCTTCTACAGTGTTGCCAACTCTGCGATTTTTTTCATTTGAAAACTTTAAATGGAAATATCACAAAATGCCTCTACTTTTTTGACGCAGGACTACGTCTTTGTGGACTATACTGCCCATAATCGCATATCAAACCCATATGGATAGGAAATCAAGCAAAGATGGAACTTATGGGTAGTATACTGGGATGCAAATCAAACAAAACGGTGTGACAAAATAGTGTAAGGCTTTGAACGCTTCTAAGATGGTCATTTATGAACGAAATTCAACTTTAATGACACCCTTTTATTCAGATTGAATGTAAGATTTGTTGGGTATGATGTGTGTCACGCGATCGTCTGTTTACTCGGCAGCAACCATTGTGTGGTCCTCCTCATTGTTCTCCATAAGCAGTTCTTTCAATCGATGCGTCGTCGACTTTGGAAAGCAACTGTTTCATGATGAATGTGTGAGTGCTGACCACGTTTTGCGTCCATTACTACAATGGAAGCGCTCTGACCCCCGTTGGTGAATCTGCCATACAATGAAACCACTGGAAGCGGCTCCCGCTCTGGTGGAGGAGGCTTATTGGATAGCGGAAGATAAAATGTTTATTGTGTTGTACCTTTTGACTATAGTTTTAAGATGTATTATATTGTAACAAGAATCCTCGGCTCTGTAAAGTTAATCCGGTTGAGCATATCAAATAAATTAATAAAAAAAAAATTTGGGTATGAATATAATAGTTGTTTATCAATGGTTAACTATGCTCGCTTGCTATGGCTATCGAGAGAGAAGTGTTAGTTTGTTTACTAAAATGAACTATGACGATTGTATATGGCAAGATTTGCTATAATCAATCCTCCTCTCGTTCATTCGTGAAATTCACATCACTTGCATAAGAAATCAATTTGGCAAGGCATTTGTGAAATAGCAAACAACTTCTGGTCGTATGAAAAAGGTCCAAATCGGTAAAAATTCGCCCATAAACTTTTTTGTTTTGGCACCTTTTATGGTAAAATAGTTAACTTTTCATGAACATTAATGGCAAATAACTCACCAACATTAGCAGACCGTGAGTTCTTGAACACCGTTACATCTATCCATCTAGAGCCGGTACCACTCAATACTCAATGTTTTTTTTTTCTTTGCTTTTTCCTATTCATTAACCCACATCAGCAAAATACAGGAGAAAAGGTGGGGCTTAGAATGCTAATCTAAATGCTTAAATATGCTGTTCTAATGCTTAAAGTAAGGGAAACGTAGAAAATTTGTCTGACGTCATCGTTTGACTGCTGTAAATAGGTGTTTGTTGCGTTGTACACTGAAAACGAAACTAACTCAGAGAGTGAGTCACTTTTACTTATTCGTTTGGAGACATTTCTAAAAGCGTCGGTAACTCAGTGTATGAGTAACTTACTTATGTTTTTTTGATTCGAACAAAAACAAGAATATATGTGAACATCTTACGATATGTATACAATCTTTCTCGAAAGAAAAGAGAACAAAGAATAAAGAAAGTTATAAAACTATAACTACACTAGTAAAAAATAATATAAGGACACTTTAATCTTAGCATCAGAGGAATTTTATATCATGTGTGTTTGGAAGCCACATTATCATGCAACAATATGAGCCTAAGAAAGAACAAATTGCATCATGTACGTAGGAGACATAAATGGAAGTTCTCAAGATTCTTTATAGCCACCTTCAGGTTTAGGTTCAGACTTTAAGTTCTGTAGACATCTTACCGGATCTAATGTTTTACGAATCCGTGCTCATAGCTCGTGGGTTTCACAGCCTACACTTTAAAATCGTCTGACGCTGAAAATCGAAAAGTGGGCGCAGTCCTTCAGGAATAGGAGAACGGCCAATTCATTTTAGATGTTATTTTTAAACTACGTAGACACTTAAGGGGGTAGAAGATTTGCCAAGCGTCTACGGATCATATAAGTTTCAAAAAAAAAATGTATTGACGATTCTCTACGCTAGCGAGGGGAAGTCTAAATCTTTTCAAAAACTGTTACCTTATTACCTGTTTAACTTCTTTGCTTTTATATTCCAGATAACTTCTCTGGTTGGTATTCCACAAACCGCACTTCACCTATCTCGACAACAGTTCTACGGATGCCTAAAGTTAATAGCGGCCTATCAAGCGTCGGTGCCACTGCGAGAAGAGATACTGACGTCCACGATGAATCTTCCTCTGCCTCAGTTCAGCTGGATAGACTCACCGACCGGTTTTCCGCCCTCTGTCGGTGGGTCATCTTCATCCGGCATCATCAATGTCACCAGTGCTATGACCGAACGGAATGGATACGTAGGCGGGCCGATTAAAAATAGTAGAGATCTCATCGAGCTGACGGCTGCTAGCAGCAGTAGCAGTCGGGAACGGGTGGATATGGTCTCGAACAGTGGTGATATAACCAATTCGGATCAACCAAGTACGGATTCTGAGGTGGAACACAATGACGATACGATGCTACGGTCAGCCGAACGCCATCACGTGGTCGGAGTGAAAGGCCATAAAGGAGTAAAATTGATAGGGGGAGCCGCCGGCGGAACCAGCAGTGGCGTTGGCGGATCTCCGGAAGCATGGAGCACTGCTAGTGATAGCCCTACGCCAACCAATAGTGTGGCGGAACGGCCTTGGGCCAATCAGAATCTTTGGCAGGGATTGGTCTGCGAAGAACAACGGCAACTATTAGGTACGGAAGAAGAATCTTCCGATCGTCACAGTAGTGATGAAGATCAGGAAGTTGATCTTGAATATTTTTACCAGATTTCTCAGACGCAGAAAGATTACTACCTGAAACAATTTCGTACAATACAGCCAGATATCCATGGGTTGGTTAGTGGACAATTAGCGAGGTAAGACTTATTTTATTCTTCAAAGATGTACAAAGCAATATCATTCATGCATAATATTTCTGGTTCTAGGGTATTTTTTGAAAAATCTCGTATTCCTATCGAAGAACTTCGCCACATTTGGCAGATGTGTGATGTTACACGCGATGGGGCGTTGAACCTAGCCGAATTTACTGCCGCCATGCACCTGGTGGTGCTGCGACGGAACAATATCCCCGTCCCTACTTCGCTTCCACCTTGTTTGATGCCCAGCCTGTTGCAACATTCATTGTTCTCCGCAAATGCTAGTGGAGCACTCCAGAATCAGCACAGTGGTGGTTCGACAGGAGGTGCTAGTACGGGGAGTGCAGCCGTAACGGAAACTGGCAATAGTGCCCGGGAAAGAACCGGTCCGGAGGAAGCAGATTTGCTGCATCTCGAAAGCGATGATAATACCGATAGTGGCAGTAGGGCCAACATCGACATAAAAGATTATCAACGTATTATTTCTCATACTGAGCCATTGAAGCTCGGTCATTCGGTTGCGAATAACAACGCCGTGACAGCTACTTTAGTCACGGTTGGTGGATCGGATAGTCCTCCAACGGTATCTTCTACAACTGGCTGCTCGAAGATAATCAACACGACTAGTGGCAGGAAGACGCCCACGAATCTGGCATCTTCTCCTCACAATTCCCAGAAGTCGAAGCCCTCGAACGAACAACCGATTACACCTCCAAATACGTTAAATAATAATAAGGTAAGATTCATCAAGTAAAATGCCAATGAATGTCTCACGCTTTCGTTTGCAGGATTGGAATTCGGCTAGCAAAGAGTGGACCAAATTCACCGAATCTCCTACTTCAAATGTTTCTAGTCCCGGACCGAAGCCGGTCAATTTCGATATGCAGCGTACAACACAGGCAATAGTGTCTGATCCTCAAATTCTACATCCAGTGCCACTACGAGTTACACCCGTTGGTAAGTGTATCCGGTGGATTTCATCTGAATGTGGACTTATACTGATTCGTTTTCATAGGCGCCGAAGCAGCTGACAATAGCAATCTAGTCTACAGTGACGTAACCGTCGGGAGTGGCGGTATATTGATAGTTCAACGGGATGATTCCAGCCCAAAGCAGCTGCAAGCACAAAGCGTACAACAACAACAACAACAACAACAAACGCAGCCGCTGCCGCCACATTCAATTCAGAGGGATTCCTTGACAAGTGGTGATCTTCGAGCCATTCAGCGACCCCAACCGAAGAAGCCTCCCTCCAAAGGTGTCGGAGCAATACCACCACCACCGCAGCGGGAACCTAGCATTACGTCTTCGTCCGGTGTGGCAGGCGTTGATTCGATGGCTACTTCGCTCGATACGGCCACGTTCAACAGTGTCATCAACAGTACAGCTGGTCATCCAGTTACCAGTACCGTTACAAACAGTGCCAGTAAAAAGGACCAACCTCCTCCGCCATTGCCACCACCACGGCCATCGCAGCATCGACACACCCGTAGTAGTAGCTTAGATCTGAACAAACTAAAAATGAACACCAGCAGTGGAAGCGCGTCTCTGACCAAACAGCAGATAGAGGACCAAATGCGCATGCCACCACCGCCGGAGGTTCCACCGCGCGTCACACCAACGGCCGAAAATTCTGCTGCACCTGGATTTGCTGATTTTGCACATTTCCCGAATGCACCAACCGCGGGCGGAGCAAGAAAAGTAAGTGAAACTCAGAACTATCTATTTGTGCATTATTGTCATGGCAGCCACATTCAATATTTTGATAGAATTCTGACAATTTTATAACATTTGCCCGAATGTCACAAGCCTGAATCGTTTGAAAATAATCTGATTTTGAGCATACCGTGGAGGCACCATATTCGAAGCGGTTCCTAAATGGACGCACTGAATAATTGTTCAACTATTTTCAATCATTATATTTGACATGTTACTTCTGCATATCAAGAACAACATGTGAAACGGGCATACAAGCTTTTTGTAAACAAACCTTCTTATGCCCTTTTCTCGCCACCCATCTGACATCAACGCATCAACGCAAACCATTAGGGGAAGCTTTCCCCTTCCCGATGATGTTGTTGGTTTGCGTGGGCGACCCTCGGTTGGCGAGAAAAGAGCATACAAAGGTTTGTTTACAAAAAGCTTGTATGCCCTTTTCACATGTGGCTTTTGATATATTAGTTCCAGTGCTTTATACCCCGTTCACATTACAGTGTATATCACGTGATATACGCTGTCTTGCAATGAGCACTCATACATCTAGTTTTCACTGGAAATCCTATGTATGAGTGCTCATTGCAAGACAGCCTATATTGCGTGATATAGGATGTAATGTGAACGGGGTATTAGGGATGATGGTGTTACAAGTTTAAAAAAAATATCTTGTCAAAATCAAGATGCGATTAAAATTAAACGAGTGCGTCACCATTAGGGACGCGTCAGATATAGTGCTGGCACGGTAGTATTTGTAACTTTGTTGAAAATTCACAATTCTGATTACCAGCAAACATTCAAATACTAGTATTGAATAAAATTATATCCAATTATTTATAAAGCACTATGCTATTACCAACTCTGTTACTTTTACTTACTTTGACCATTTCATACTAAGTCCCAGCGCGGAATCTTCAATGCGAACGAGGTGGAAATCATCACGACGCGAATGTTGTTTTCCCTACAGACTAAGTCCAGACGCAAGTGTAGCTCTGACAGGTCAGAGGCGCATGGCAAAGTCCGAAAGCGAGAACATAATTCTGGCTATGTCAAAGGCACAAAGGCAAGAGGATTTATTATTATTAGATAGCCCGAGGGTCCCAATAAAAGAGGAGTTTTGCTGATTAGTTAGAACAAGATTGATTTATTCATCTACATTCATCACATAAATACTAGTGTTTGGCCAGGATGCGAATGGACCCTAAAGGGTGTCCACGATGAAATTGCTCTAACTTACTGCAAGTTTTAAAGTCCTGTGATCAAAACTCGCGGAAATGGAGTCGAAAGAACAGCTCGTGCGTGATAAAATCTTGCGCATTTATCACGAGAACAAGGATCTCTCGCATCGTTCCATCGCTAAAACGTTGGGAATCGCGAATTCCACGGTGTCGCGAGTGATTAAGCGGTTCGAGGAACGGTTGACCACCGATCGGAAGCCCAGAAGTGAAGGAAAAAGTATTCCGTACAACACCAAAAATCACAACCGCGTAGTTGGGGCCTTCAACCGAAATCCGAACGCCTCCGTTAGGGATGTGGCTAAGAAGCTGCACCTAAGCCGAAGTTTTGTCCAGAAGGCCAAAACTAAGGCTGGGCTTCGAACGTTCAAGGTACAAAAGGCCAAAACTAAGGCTGGGCTTCGAACGTTCAAGGTACAAAAGGCCCCTAATCGCGACGAGAAGCAGAACAAGTCCGCCAAAACCCGTGCCAGGAAGTTGTACCTCAACATGCTGACGAAAGTTGAATGCTGCATCATGGACGACGAAACATATGTGAAGGCCGACTTCAAACAGATCCCCGGCAACCTGTTTTTCACGGCCAAGAATAAGTTCAGCGTTCCGGAGCATGTCCGCACTCAGAAGATGTCCAAATTTGCGAAGAAATTCCTGGTTTGGCAAGCCATCTGCACGTGCGGGAAGCGGAGTGCACCTTTCGTGACCCAGGACACGATGAACGGACAGGTGTACATAAAAGAGTGCCTCCAGAAGCGGCTGCTTCCTCTCCTGAAGGCCCACAACGTCCCAACAATCTTCTGGCCGGATTTGGCCTCATGCCACTACTCCAAGGACGCGCTGAAGTGGTATGCGGACAATAAGGTCAATTTCGTGCCGAAAATGTTCAACCCTCCCAACACTCCGGAGCTCCGCCCCATCGAGAAGTACTGGGCGATTATGAAGCAGCACCTTCTTAAACGACTTAAGATAGTGAAGACAGTCGAGGAACTGAAGAAAGTATGGGTTTACATGCAAAAAACGGTTGATTCACAGGTTGTGCAGAATCTTATGGCCGGGGTTAAGGCCAAGGTGCGGGCATTTGCGTATGGACTGTAAATAAAATACGAGTAAAATGGTAAAATGAAGTTTAATAGTTATTTCTCAATCCCTGAAAATTTGATGGCAATCGGATGAAAACTCGAATTTTGCGAATCAATTTTGTGTGTGGCAATTTCATCGTGGACACCCTTTACGTTGTGTTGATGACGACTGGAAGAGATTAGCCAACGGGCAATTAGATTTCGGCGGACACTAGACACTTTTGATTACCTCCGACAGGAATTAGGCCTGGCTGTAGGGTAGAACGTTACTTATATATAATTACAAATAATATGTCCACTAACACGAAATAATCAAACTAAAAATCACAAAACAATATTGCTTTCAGTTCCTAAATATAAACAAAACATAAAAGTACAACAAAACATACAAAAATGCTATCACAGAAGCAAGGAGCAGAGTAGCTGTCATCGCTTCGCTACAATCACGCCATGAGGGCATTTGTTTGTGGCCGCTTTCATATTCAAATGTTGCAGAGCCCGGCACCGATGGTGCGATCCAACAACTAGTTTTTATATCGCATCCTTAATTCAACAATGCAATCACGTCACGCATTTTTATCCAAATTCCTAAAGATTAACTTTATGTCGGTGAGACGCCTGGAGTATATAAATGCATTTTCTCAGAATTGTATGTTATCGGTAGGTGGGAACGCGGTTACCGATGTGACGTTGATATGATGTTGAGCTCACGGCATACAGTAATGAAATAGGATCCTTGCACATGGATCGGATTAAGTGTGGTTGTCGTTATGTGTTTACTGAGAGCAGGAACAATTGGCTACAAGTAGGTTTACGACACTAGAATTCAGAAATATTTTGAAGTTCTCGAAAGAACTGCTTATGTTTAAAATAGGAAGAATCTTCTGTAAAATATTAGATTCTGACTGAACTGACAAATTTTCCCAAACTCCATTTTTAAATCTCAAATTAAAGCTTCATTCGCAGTACAGTGCTATTCGAAAGAACTGAGCATGTTTTAAAGATGAAAAAATCTTTTAAAATTATTATTTTCGGGCTAGTATCATTCGGGTGAGTGTTATACAATTGTCTAAACCATGGTTAACACTCTTAAAATCACAATTGTTACGCTTCTCTGGAGAGTTCTTGGGACTTTTTGGAGGAGGTTTTAAGAGTTCCCGGAGATGTCCATAGCTATTCTCTGGGCTGTGGGATTTCCAAAATGTATAACATAATTTTTAATTTCTTCGTGGTTGTCGAGATGGAACCTCTAACTTTGAACAGTTTCCAAATGATAATGGCGTTCAACACCGACAAAGCATTAGCAACAATTCCCCACCATTAGTTTAGAGGCTAAGAAACCCTCCATTAATGGCCGACGGAGGTCGAGTAGGCTCTCTGAGAGGCACAATTTGGCCCGAACAGGTCGTCACCCAATAAGCCTAATGACCCTAATTCAAAAACGCTTTGGCTTCTTCACTCGTTTCGCCTATTACCATAGACTAACACTAAGACCAGGGGGTCCCGAAGAAACATGCTCTATTTTTTGGTTCAGGAAGTATCAGACCTTGGGTCTCAAGCTAATTGAAGCACCCCTCGAAACGTAGGAAAATCCACTCTGTCATATTTATAAGGCGAATCAAAACAAACACAAACATTGACAGATTCTATAAGGCGAATGGGGTACGCTTATAGATTAGTTTCGTGTTGATTGTTGCTATACTGCCGTTATACGCATAAGAGTCCCACGGTGCATAAGGATTGCATAGAACATGGGACATGGCATTATGCGTATAACGGCAGTATATTACTGTTAAGACTCCGTCATCAGCAAAGATCGCGAAACCTTTGACAGCTTAAGCATCAGCACGCACGCCGTTGTAGTTCCAGAGCGTTAGACCAACAATGGAGCCTTGAAGAACCCCTGCCGTAATCCAAGCGTAATCTAGCATAAGTGTAAACAGCCCATAAAGAGTTCTTCTGGCTGCTATGGGACAGTTTGTATCGAGGATGCTGAGTGCCTAGTTTCACAATTATTATGAGGGTCGTCTGTTATTTGGCTCCAGTTTCCTCTTCATAGGTGTGTCACATGCCTCCCCTTGTTGTCCTTGTTGTCCCCTAAAACTTTGCTACAATTGGGACTCAATGTTTTTGGTTGGTTGTGTGTCAAAGTATGTGTTCTATTGTAGCTCCAGTGACCAATCTTCCTGATTCAGAAATAAATTATTATCAAATGTGGAGCGTATTTAATGTTTGGAATTTGCATAATTGAATCATATTCAATTTACTTTTGTAGCCTTTTAATGTAAGATCATCTTACCATCTAATTTACCCGCAGGTTTCCGCCGAAAACAACGTCACGACCATCCACTTAGACGCCAGCGGTAACATGACCACGGCTCATCAGCAAACAACTCCGCGGGGTAGTCTTTCCAGTTCTTGGTTTATCGTCAGTGGTCCTAGCGCTTTCGAGGTCTACCGAAAACCACCGCAGCAGCACCACTCGCGTGGATCCCAGTCCCCGCCACAACCGCCTCCACCGTTGGTGGCATCACGGAGTGTCGAATCGTCCTCGCTGGATTACGAGAAGCGCATTTCGGCCCTCAGTGATAATCTACGACAGGTGCGATTTAAAAATGCCGAAGTTGCCAATGGTCCGGATGTGTTGAAACATCTCAAAGAACAGAATCTGCTACTTCTGCGGATATGCGGCGACCTAAGTGAGGAGCTATTGCAGATACAGCAGAAGCGCGAAGATATACGGATAAAGATAGAACTACAGGAACAGAATCTAGGAGCTAGTGGGGCAACTGTTGGCAGCGGGGGTCCACAAGTTGCAGGCAGCAATGTTGGACCTTCTATACATCTAGTATGAGATCATCATCGTTGATAATTGTTCGTAGGTAAGCCGAATGTGAACCATTGGTGTAATTATTGTAATTGATTGTACTGTTGAGAGACACAAATTTTTATTTGATGCTGGATGCTGTTTCCTGAAGAAAAAAAAATCAATCGCTTCGTAGCAAATGAACTGCGTACCCATACAACTCGAGTAAGGCAGAATTTTTTTAATCATTGTTAGAAAAAACATACAATTGTAAAAAAGGATAATAACGAAAATTTTAAAATCGACTCACAGAGAAAGATTTTGCAACAAATAACGTAACGAAGTGGGCTATAAGCAAAGTTATAAAGTCATTCGTATTGGATAGGAGGTGAGCTAAAGCAGAACACGTGTTATGTGTGCGTAACTGAACGGGGACTCATAGACAATGTGTTTTATTGCGTGGAAATATTTGTTTTATATCTGATTATATTTAAGAACGAAGATATATATTACATTTTATGAGTATAAATATGAAAGTATAATATGTTCGAAGAAATCTTACAAAACTTGTACGCTCGATCCTACGCATTTGTCTGATGTAAACAATTGGTTGATCTATTTGTACGATATAGAATATATAAATACAAAAAGCTAGCAACTCATTGTTGCAGGGAAAACCTTGTCGCCACTTGTGAGCTTTTCAGCATTTCTAATTTCCTTCGTTCAAATGATAAAAAGCTGTTCCAGAATGTTGGTAAGTATTGTTAGGTCTCATACTAAGTGAGTTTTAATGTTGTCTGCAAAGTATAGAGAAATTGTTATGCAATTCGCAGCTGCATAACCTAATTTCCGTATGTCACCAGTTTTCCAAGATACACACATTAATGCACTAATTCTACGATCTAACATCAACATTGATACAACGCTGTCCACCTTACTTTGAGTTTAGTTTAGTTTGTAGATGGTGCTGATGGGCTTGATAAAGCTGTTTGTTGAGCCGCTTATACTGTTTGTTAACGAGGTTGTACTTCCTCTTGGATGTATCCGTTCGAAATTTACAAAATGTCTTCAAGGCAGCTCGTTTGGATGACTTCAGTCGCTTGAGTCGGTGGTTGGTCCAAGGAGGGTTACTAGATATGGGTGGAGTTGTCATGGGTACAAACTGGTCGATCGCATACACGACAATATTCGAGAAAATTGAAGAGGCAGCATTCGCGTCACGATCTCGGTTCATCGTCCCAGCTGATGTTTTCGAAAAAGGTTGCCATTCCCTCGAAGTCAGTCCTACGGTAGTCATACGATACGCTGTCCACGGTAACCTGAAAAGTGCAAGCCTGATAGAAGTGTAATGATAACTGCAGAGGTGAATGATGTCTACAACGTTTAACTAGTGGTTCGGGTGCCTCTTGAACCGAGCAATTAGAGGCGAGTTCACGGCTAAGGAAACATAGATCAAGCAGTCTATGATTTTAATTGGAGATCCCGTTCCGTTGTAGATTAGCAGTATTGTAGCAATCTAGGAGATATGCTACTAGAGGTGTAATGTATGAGCCATTAAAGCGAGGATGAAAGAACCCTGTTTCACTCGATGACCAGTTGACTGAAGCAAGATTGAAATTACCAATAACAAGGAAAGCGCATTCATCTTGGATACAACCCAAAAAAGTGAATCAGGTGGATGAAGTAACTGAGTGTTAAAAGTAGAACGAACTGCTAGCAAGACACCACCGCCGGAAGCTTTGGGGCTAGGAGCTCGAGAACTATCAGTGCGGTAGACCGTAAAATCCGAACTAACTATTTGCTTTGAAAGTGTGTTGTTGTTCAACAAAGTTTCGGTGAAGGTGTACATATCGTAACAAGCATTCGAGCAGGCCAATTTGTACTAAGCTACAGTTGTATTCATGCCTCCAACGTTTGGGTAATACATCAATATTTCAGCTCCCTGAATTATGGATGCGTTACGGTTGTCATTTGAGTCATCATGGTGGGGAAAGACTGAAATTGTCGAGGGACTATGTACGGATGTGTAGTGATCATTTCCCGCTTCGGCAGGACATATACTGTTCGTGCAATTACCTGAGAAACCAAGCTCAGCGACTTGAGCATTGCAATCAGAGTCATCCTGGTGAGAATCGGCTGAAACTGCGAAAGGACTTTTAACGGTAGTGTAGTGATCATTTCCTGCTTCGGCAGGACATATACAATTTGCTCAGTAGCTGATTGCTACTTCCGAAGACGAGGCTCGAATGGGGCAACGCTGACAAAACTGGGCCAGAATCCATTTTTGGTAACGGTGTTAGTGAAAATTGGGTTATCCAAAACTAGTACTATGAAGGATACAAAGCTCAAAGGAGTAATTAAGAAACACACAAATAATACAGTGTTAAACCAGACACTGCTTAACATAGTCTATTTACTTAAATGTTATATATGTTGCACGATATTAGGGGCGTATCACTGGCGTCTTCGGCTAGATATACCAGTTACCTGGCTGAGAGCTGGTGTTCTACCAGACCGCAGACCTGATGATCAAACACAGAGACTGCCTGGACAGTCCATATACCTAACAAAGAATCCCGTATACGGTGCATGTCTGATCAGCGAACCCGATTTTAACGGAGCCGGAGATCTTCGAGAACTGACAGAGATCTGATAGGCAGCAGATGATACCAGGGGTGATGGACGTTTGGTCAGCAAACCCGGTTAAAACGCAGTCACAGATGTTCGAAAACTGGAACCATGTGTTACACAAACATTAGGGGCAAGACATATAGCAGTCTACCTGACAGGGAGCAGGTGTTGTACAAGACCTCATACATTGTGATGAAACCCAGAGACGTTGAATGTCGGGACAGACCGTAGACCTAACAGAGAATCAAACAATATATTTTAATAAAATACATTTTAATTAATTAAAAAATCTCAAAACAATATATCTCTGAGATATTTTGAGGAATTAAAGTCTATTTGATGTAAACTTGGAATAATTGATAACATTTTGCGTTCACTTGCGCATTTATTATTATTATTATTTTCCTTGATTTGTTTTTCGTCGATCTTGTTTTCCGTGCTGACCACCAATGCTACCGCGCCTGGAACCTACCTATCGACCCACCAACTCATGAACCGGGGACCAACTGCTTTACTTCCCTTCCGAAGGAAGGCTAGACCAGAGATTTTATGCCTCAAAACATCCCGGCGGCGCCAACTGGGATTGAATCCAGGCCTGCTGGGGTGAGAGGCAATCACGCTTATTACCACTACACCACTGCCACTACACCACTACCACTACACCACCGGCGCTATACGCATTTTTTTAGAAAATGATTCAGAAAATAATGTATTTTTTTTTCAGATTGTATGTGATCTATATTTTCAGTATTCTAAAAATAATAGCAGTGATCTGGAAAGATTGGATTGATCAGTACAGATTAAGGAGAAATTATGAAAGTATTCTTTTGAACGATTATTCAGACTATAATACTAAACATGTGAATTTCAGATAAATTTTATAAAACTTCGTGTATCTCAGTTGATTGAAGATATACAGTTTTTATGTCTTGGGCGTTTTTTATAAAATTCTACGTTCTACAACTTTGCCGAAGACAGGAAACCTTTACTTTGTGAAACGTTTTTTTGTATCGCTGTGCCATCTTTGCGGCCGAAATTTGAACTATTTTTAAATACCAAATTGTAGTTCTAATTAATCCAAGAAACTTCACTGAAGACGTCAATTGGATTCAACCCAGAGCGATATTATTTTTTCCTGCTCGATTTGTTTTGTTCCCTTTGTTCGGGACCAAACACCACTGCAACCAGTAATTTGATCTATTGTAGTATATCCTGTGTCCTTAGTTTAGTGCATGTCATATTACTCCATCACTATTGAGAAATGACGAAGTATTCGATTTTTTTTACAGTGGTCATTATTGCATTTATCGCAAGGATCCGACCATCCGACTCTAATTTAAAGGTCCCGCTATTTATGCCCTTCGGAGTGTTGAAACACCCTCAAAAGGCGCAACCCTTTGTCAAAATTAAATTCCTTAGCAACAAAATTAAGGAATGACACCGATAATGACCATGCATCAGAACCCTAGTCTTAAGCACTTCAAACTAGACAACAATGAATAGAACATTAGGGATCATATAGATAAATTAACTAACTTATTTTTTCCTTATTTCATGATCATCCTTGGTGGACAGAGCCGTGTCTTTTCACTATCAACAAGGCATAAAAAGTAACAAGGACTAAGATGTGTTCCTTTGATTACAGAAAAATCCTGTTCCCCTTGTTCGAAGTAGTGAGCACTAGGAATCGGTGGTAGATCTAACATCCCACAACGTATCACAAAAAGTTGTTCTAACGGGTGTTCAATAAAAAATAAAAAAAAATTCAGTCATATACCTAGTAAAAAAAATTGTTTCAACGAATTCAGTATTTTTTATTAAAAACAATGTTTATTCTTCAAAAAAACGCCAATGAATATTGGAGAAGGGGCCCTGGTCAGCCGTACGACGCAACTTAGTCGCGATGCTCTCACAAGAGCGCTGGACGGCACTGAAATCATTCTCATTTTTTATTGAAAACCCGTTACCCACGTTACTTTACTGCTAGATTTAATTCCAGGCTCACTGTGCCGTGGAATCGGTTGACTTGCACCCTCAGTGGGAATAGATTTCTTTGAAGATGATACACAATGATAACTAGCTTTTTTGTTATTGTTATTGTAATTACTCAGCTCACACCCTGGTCGACTATCGCCCGCCCATCTGCACTTAAGCTAGGTATGAACCTACGGAAATTTTGGTCGTGACCTATGCTAGACCGTATAGCATAACGACTTTCTTCCACCAGCAGGCCTAATGCTCCCGTAGGCAGTCCCACTAGCTTCAGATTTATAGGGGATAGTAAGAGAATAATAGAATAGAGAAGAGCGATGGAGTATTTGTTGTTTTTCTGAAAAGCAAAGAACAAAAACAGCACACCGACTTGTTGTGCTGCATGAGCTATGTCCGCTTTCATTCCCGCTCCTGCGGGTTACGTCCCTCTTCACGTGCTCACTCACTCAAGTATCCTGGGAACCTCCAGAGGTGCAGAGGGCCAACATGAGAAACCTCCATTCCGAGCGGTTGCTTGACCTGGGCCCAGGTCAAATTCCTATTGGCTTGCTTGATTTCCTTGTTGGGGTTTTGCTGCCATAAGCCCCTGTGCCTTTGTTGTGACGTACTGATGAATTTGATTCACATGCTCCACACGCTTGCCTGCAGTGATATTGTCGGTTGTATATTATTTTTATTTTTATATTGTTTTTCGGCTGCCAGTTCGCTGCTAGCAACAATTTCCATTGGGGATCATTTGATACGTTTGGGTTTCCTGCACATACGACTTTTTCCTAGATACAAGCTTCGTCCAGTATACATTGGCTGTCTCTAACCGGCATGATCCTTTCTGTCTGCTTCCTCTTGCCGGTCCTATTGAACTTCTGGTCGTGTTACCATTTGACCTCAGGCAGTTAATATTAGTACATGATAGGAAGAAAGAAAGAAATAGAACAAGTTAAGTGTGAGCCGCATGCATTGGTTACTTATTTGGGTCATGGTGTTGTGTTCCCTATTTATATGCCTCTATTTCGCTCTCAGATCGCAACGTTTACCTCACCCCCTTCCCTCACACTATTATGGTCGGAAAAGAGAACCCATATTCAGAAATCTCTCGCGAACTGCGATGCAGAAGGTATTAATAGCAACCTAATCTGGAACTGGTCTAAGACATATAACCCAGTGAGTATTGACACATCACAATGTTGTGATGGAGCACGGACGTGAGATTTACTAGAGTATTAAATGCAAAATGCAAATGCAAAATCAAACTTGACAAAACATCGTCAATCCCCTTTTTCTTGGGCAGGGCCTGACGATGTGAATCTGATTTTGATCAGTGAACGGGCCCCATATGGTATATTTTCTCACTATGAACCTGTCATTTCTGAACTATTTAATAAATGGAAACCATAACGCTCCCCCTAAGCGGGCCCTCCGCATTCTATCTCTGTCTTATCTCAAATGCCAATGGTTTGATTGTATCAATATATAAATTGGAAATGAAGTTCAATCAAATAAACCCATACCCCACTCACTTGGCCAGGCTTCAGAATCGTCCAGTGGGCAGTGCAAGTTCCCTTTCTTTCAAATTCACCCCAAATTTTATATTTTACCCCTTTGAGTGTTGATTAATCACAATGAAACATTGTGACAGAGCACGGACTTGAGGTTACTAGAGTATTAAATAATCTAGGTCCTATTTAGGATTATATCTGAAAAATCCAAATTTGGCCAATGCCCACCAATGATAACTAGCTTTTTGAAACTAAATTCATTTAGCGTATGTAGTCCTGAAATTGCTTCAGAAATCGGAGGCGTGTCGTCCGCATGTGCAACCTGTTCATGGAAATCGTATGTATGCAATTTTTTTTATTGGTTTACTAAACCATTAAAATTAATGAAAGATAGGAAAACACAGCGTGTTCGCCTAAGTGAATAAACCAATAAGCCAAAAAACTTATTTTTTTCCTTGCTTTGTTGTCCGTCGATCTTGTTTCCCGTGCTGAGCACCAATGCTACCGACGCCAGGGAGGCGCTCCCACACCTGGACCCTACCCTACCAATCGACTCATAGACCGGGGGGACCAACGGCTTTACTTTCCTTCCGAAGGAAGGCGTGATCAAAGATGTTATGCCTCAGAACAACCCTGCGGCGCGGACTGGGATTGAACCCAGGCCTGCTGGGGTGAGAGGTGATCACGCTTACCACTACACCACCGGCGCCGCTCGAAAAACTTAGTTGCCGTTGCTTAAATTTCCGATGTTGTAATTCGCCTAAAGGTAGTCTTTATAGCTTTACTAACCATCCAAAAAAAAAACACATAAATTTCTGATATTACAATTCGCCTAAAGGTATACTCATTCATCGGCGAGCTATTCTGCAGCCAACAGAAAGAAGAGAGGTATAGATCGTTTTCTTATTTCAAGCTGAACAATGCATTAGGTCCTAAGTAACATTGACAGATTATCTCCGTCAACTTTCTCTTTGCATCCTCACGGCCATCTTAAAACATAACCAGCTATTTTCAGCACACAAATCGATGAAAAAAGCAATTATCTACCTTCTAATACGATAAAAACGACAAGAAGCGGTTCTGTACATAAGTTATTAACGAAAGAGAAAGTCGATGTGGAGAATCGAGCAATGTTACTTAGGTCCTAATGAAATGTTCAGCTTGATTTACGTTCGCCCATTTACAGAAACCTATGGGCAGCGTTGCCAAAAGCTTTCATTTCTATTCAGTCCTATACAGTCCATACAGTCCTGTTCACATCGACTGATGCTGACTGGTTGCGGTACAAGCACATATCGTCGATAATAGACAATTGTTGTGTATCAGAGAACGCTTGCGCAAAAAGACTAGGGTCGGGAACGGATTCGAAACTTAAATGACATTAGCCAAATACATCCGTAGACCATAGGTCCACCGTTGTATAAAGTTTGTTTTTTTTTTTGTATTTAATGTCTGTTGGAAATATTCAATTTTGTTAAGCATACACCATTTTATAACCATTATTTTTTATAATTTATTTTAATTGTGGGAACCCCCCCCCCCCCCCTCCCACTGCACAACGTGCTAAGACTTAAAAATATGTACATTTAATTTTAGTTTTCATCATGCAGCGGCGATACAACTCAATATTTATCTTCCGTGGTGTAATTAAATTTTAGTATATTGCAGTATGTCTCGAAACTACATCATCACAAATTATTTATGTTAATTATATTTTCTTGCATTCACCCTACGCTTTAGAAAAAGCACTTTATTTATTTGACTTTATTTACCGCCTTTTTTCTAAACATGGAACTTGTAGAACATGTATAACTTTTAGTCACGAGACACCTCTGCTTGAAATGTGATTTATTAGTTTCTATAGCAGCTATGCAAGAGATCCGCTACTTTCACAGTGCTAACTGGACCAGATCCGTTGTTGAATCATGGAACCGAGATGGAAGGTGAATAGCTGCATACATAGACCTATTCTGCGCGGCGTGTGAGGTGAGGTGACTCACTATCACTAGTGAAGTGACAATTGTCACCTCGGGTGAGGTGACTCTCCATTTGATTTGCATGGAGACTCACCTCACCCGAGGTGACAATTGTCACCTCACCATCACTTCACTGTCACCTCAACTCACACGCCGCGCAGAATAGGCCTAACAATACCACCGGAATTCGAACATGTAATAAAAAAGATAGGTAACTAAAAAGGATTGCACAATTGTGTCTGGTCAATTGTGAAGCACATACTGAAGAAAAACGGGTGGAACAGCAATTGACCTGAAGGATTTCAAGCGGAAATGGAATTTGGCAGCCAAACAAGTGGGAACAGGACTGGTGCAAAACGTGTACGAAGAAAAGTTCGAGCAATGGCCTATGGTAAGAAGAAATACTGAAACAATGGTCTTACAATATGCATAATATTCCTACAAAACAGACACCATGAAGAGGCAATTTACGTTTACGTGGTACTTGCCTTCTGGAGCAGGTTGGAAGACCCACTCTCTACATCCATGTCGGTGAGATCTAGGGCTTCCAACGTACTTTGCCCGATGTGAAAAGAGAATCCAGTGTTTGAAGACTAATTGATGGATGACCTGGATTAGTGCAGTTTGATGCTTTAGTTTTTTTTTCTAATCAAATTTTTGATTTTATGACAATAAGATTGTCCGTAAGGGCGTCAAAGCCAAGAAGAAGATGCAGATTGTTCACTTCCAGGGTTGCTTACACTCACTTGCTATATTTTTTTTCGGAATTCTAAAATTATTAAATGTTATTATGATGTTTTGTGCTTGTAAGTTAAAAGAAGAGGTTGTAAAGTATGTGTTTGACACATGAAACTTGTCAATATCGCTTTCAGAGTGTCACAATCAGCGGTTTTATGATTCGTGAGCGTTCACTCTGAGTGAGCGCTCGCCAGTCGTAAAATCGCTGATTGTGACTATCTGAAAGCGAATTTGGCAGGTCTTATGTGTCACACACTTGCCTTTCAACCTCTTCTTGTATCTAACAAGTACAAAATATTATTATAACATCTAATGATTCCGATATTCCGAAAATCATTTTTTATAGCAAATGAGTGGAAGCAAGTCTGTTCACTTCTATGAGTTATGAAGTTATGAATCGAAATCTTTCGAATTATATCACATTCGACCAAAGAGGTAAGTTGTATTCCATTTCTCCTACTTGTCAAATAAAATGAGGTTTCAAAGATATTATGTGCAAATTTTACTTCTCCACTAACCAAATAATGATCAAAATATCTGCCTTGCTTCCACGAAAATGTTGAAAAGTTCACTTGTAGCGATATATTTCCAGACGTACTGTGCCGTTTATTTTCTATTTGTTGGATGCAGAGAGTTTAGAACGGTATCGCTAGAGATGGTTGTTTAATGTGCACGATGGAAAACACACAACAGAGATACTTATTTTTATAAAGATGTATAAACTATTTAAACCTATTTTTAAAAAACCTAAAGCTACCCACTTTCTGAAACAAAACCGAGAAACTGCTGAGGTACAGTGCAAATCAAGTGTTACATTTCTGGAATGAACGAGCAAGTCTCTAGTTCTAAAACGAACAATAAACATACCCAATCAAGATAAGTAAAATCACGTCGTTGTCACGCTAAAGGAACGTGCACCTTAGAAGTGCAAACTGTCAAATCTCAATCAATCCTGAGGAAATATACATTTACACACACATCCATACACACATCAGCGCGTACTATTTAGCGATTAAAATACTTCCCAAGCTTCTAACATTGTTGACAAATCTGGAAGCAAACACGTTCGGATTTTCCGAAATCTACTGGAATCGGAACGTCTACAGTTTGGTAAACGACTGAAACACACACACACACACACAGCCGATAGAATTTGTATGAAAATACCATCATCGCAAAAAATGGTGAGATGAGTGTAGCATTCTCTGTTCCCATACAAAAAGGTCAGAAATTAAATAGTAAAACACGTGCAAAACTATTGACATAAAAAGCTATTTTATTATTTGGAAAGAAACACCTTTGCCAAAATCCAAGATAAGTCGGTAGGGGAAAAAGGGGTTATATTTATAAAAGGAATAATGTATAATTGAAGAATTTAAATAGAAAATGTTGAAAATTGCCCCGAATGTACATTTTGAGCTAGTCTAACATTTTTCAAATATACGCACTAGAGAAAAGTAATTCTTTAGTCTAAAATTAAATGGATAGTTCAAGTAGGCTTCAAACATTAAGCCTACAACAGATTTTTAGTAAAAATCAACTTATTTTAAGCAGGTGGCCACTGCCCCACTTTCCCCTACGTACCTACATACCTCCATTCACCGACTGTGGATATCTGATGAGTACTATACGATTACACAGCATTGTTCGAATGATTGACGACTAATACAAGTCTTATCTTGTGCATAATAGCGATTTATAAGATTAAGTATTAACGCTACTCATGGATTTCATTGAATGCTCTCAAATATTTGCCTTTTGGTGAAGCAAACAGCCGAATCTAGCTTTTTATTAGTAGTGTTACAAGAGTACGCTGCGAAGTAACCAGCTAATTCTGATCAGTGTTCAGCGTTGGAGCAAAAGCGCTCATAGTTCGAGCCGTCATACTTTGTAAACTGTGAATCTGTATTAGAGTTTCGCTTGACGACAATAGTGCGGTGTATCGGTTCCAATACGTCACGTAAGTTGCAGGTATACTTTCTTGCAGTGGGTCGATGCGAAAGGTAAGGTTAGGACTGGATGTTGTACAAGAATACAGTGATGGAATGAAGAAATTTGATTACTCATTGGTTACGAAAAATCATTAGACTTTAACCTCAGCCCAGTCCAGTTTGCATTTACAGGTCTAACTTCGTGTTCTTCAATCTGTGAATCGCGCGTAGTGAAGCATGATGCATTTAGAAATGAAACAACGACAATTGCGTGTACATTAGGGTTTGTATGGAGAATCACAACCCCTTGCACCCCACTGCTTTTTTGATCTGTTTTGAGGTCCCCAACAATTTTATTTCGATAGGACGAATTTACATCCATTCATCGGCCTAAAATGGTGACTGTGGGCAAATATGATATCCATGTTCCAAAAATATCATGTGATAATGGTGAATTGTTTAACTTCTTTCGTGCCCAATTGTTAACAAAATGATAAAGCTTAGATCAGCGATCAGCGAAAAATGTAACACTTTTGTTGATTGAGACCCACATTGAGACATTCCATTGACTCGCTACCCACCAATATTGATCTTGTGTAGCCAATGTGACCTTAACAAATTCAAAATGGCTTCAAAACACACAAAAAACCTTCACATTGCATTATTGCCTGAAACCCAAAAACAGAATGGGATTCTAAAGACTTTAATACTCCAAGATAGCCATAAAACTCCGAACACTTTGTATTTCATGAACGATCGATCAGCCTTCTCGAGTCAACGAAAACAACCGAAGCTTAGACCTCTGTTTTAGAAGCGCTCAGGCCACCGTCTCTCCACTAGTAAAGCAAGTTCAAGTTCATCTTCACCCTTCCTTGGTAGTTACGGTTGCGGTGCTGTCTAGCGTATACTGGCAGAGCATCATCGATCCTGACAGCGTTGAAAATGCTGCGCTAAACTTTTCACATGTCCGGAAGGATTTGAGGTTTGGGTTTAATTACTTTTGTAAACAAACAAGTCAATAGCCGATTTCTCGTGAATAAAAGCTCAATATCGTTAACAAACTGTACCAAAGGATAGCGGAATCCTACGGAATCCTTATTTTATAGGAGTTAGTATATTTTACTGGGTTTAAAAAAAAAATCGGTACCAATTCAAATGACCGGTATCAGTAAGCAATCAAGTAAATCGACAAATTTTATTTACTATCGTTAAATGGGGTTAACAGAACTAAGGCTGAACAAGTGTTTCAAACAAGGTCAATCTGATTTTCCTCAAGTACAAAATATAGAACTTTTGGAGTTTTGGGAACAACTTTGCTGAAGACCGGATGTCACTCCGAGTTAACCCCGAAAAGTTATTAGCATTTCAAATGAACACCCTTACTTTTGGTAAGGACCTATCGCGCTTGTGTGGTTTTGTTTTTACCAACAGGCATAAGAATAGCAATGTTTGCATGGGTATAACTTTTTTCTTGTTTACCATGAAGTTGGCTGAAATTTCCACAGTGAGTAGAAAAATGTGTGAAATTATGCTCTACTGAAAATTGGAACAGATGGGCCAAGTGGCTCCGGTTTTATTTCTAGTTTCCGAGAGGCCATCGGTGGGGGAGAAGGTACCAGTCGTCTACACTCAAAAGAATCTTCACGTCAATGCTACAATACTTTTTACGTAAAACTGAGTTTAGACAGGACAAGTCAATTGATCAAGTCAGTTGAATTCAACTGACTTGAACGCGAATTGAACGTGTAAACCATGCCATTCAACTGACTTGATCAACTCACTTGAATTGAAAAAGTTGAACCAGGTTCAACTTTTCAAGCCAATTGAATTCAACTGAGTTGATCAAAGGACTTGCCTAGTCTAAACCCAGAGTTACGTGATTCTCATATAGATGAGTGCACGGATGGATTTTAGTTCACTTACTCGACAAAAAGTGACACAAGGGTCACATGAATAATAAATAATGAATGAATGAATAATTCTTATTTAGAAAATTTTTGGCCGTAGGCTACTTCATCTCCGTCAGATATATATAAATAACATAAATATACAAATATATAAATAATCATCTGATATTAAACCCAGTTTAATCATGGCTGTGGGCGACCCCGGCGTAGTGGTTAACATCCATACCTCTCACGCCAAAGTCACGAGTTCAAATCTCACCCCCGGACAAGTCACGAATGACCCAAGAGTGTTAAAGTGACTATAGAAAAAAAAAATAATCATGGCTTATTAAATTGAATGTTATCTTGTTTGAATACATTTGAATCATTTTTGATTCTATTTTTTTTCTTGATTTGTTTTCCGTCGATCGTGTTTTCCGTGCTGAGCACCAATGCTACCGACGCCAGGGAGGCAGCTCCCACACCTGGACCCTACCTATCGACCCATCAATTCATGAACCGGGGACAAACGGCTTTACTTCCCTTCCGAAGGAAGGCGTGATTAGAGATGTTATGCCTCAGAACATCCCGGCGGCGCCGACTGGGATTGAACCCAGGCCTGCTGGGGTGAGAGGTAATCACGCTTACCGCTACACCACCGACGCCACTGATTCTATTTTATTAATGTTTGATTGAATTTTAATATTAATATCTAAAAGAATAAAATTTAATACTGCAAGGATGAATTTTTATAACAAGTGATTATTTCGAATTTAATCATGCATGACTATTGCCGAAGTAATTATGGCTCGGGCTCAATAAGGTGAAGCGGCAATTTTCATACTTTTTAAGCTGTTTTGATTTCACTTATTATTGAGTGTAGGATACACCCAGCCGTTGTTACTGGCTAAAATTCAATATTGGTACCAGTACCAGGTGTGCTCTGTTGATCTTTTTGGGGCTGCATGAAGTACGTAGACAGGTTGTGGGGATTGGCCCATACAAATTTAAAAAAATTGAATATGGACAAATGTCTACGCAGGAGAAGGGGGGGGGGGGGGTTCGAGAATCCCAAAAAACTGTCTACGTAGTTAATGAACAGCTCCCTAGATGTTTTGTTTGCTGAAGTAAAATCAAGAAAGTACGTGATGGTAGTAAAATCTGGAGCTCTCAATTGATAGCAATCGGTGCACTTCGGTGATTGGTGCTCGATTGCGAAACAGAAACCGACGTTAAATAAAGGATGGAGGAAAATCGATCTTTTGAACCACCCTAGAATATATGCCCGTGGAGAAAGTAATTTTACCCTATATATGCTAGATGAAAAAAAAAGTTTCTTATGCAAGGTGGAGGGGCATCGAATGAATAATCTGAATGAACTCAAATTGAAATAAAAATTCTTATCATTCAATTAAATTCAATCAAAATTTTCCATACTATATCTACAGTTATTGATTGCAGGATTGGAAAGGTGTAGTTCGCACAGACGGGAAACGTCTATCAACAAGCATATCTTAAGTGGATTGTGGTGATACTATTCATACGGTGACAATGTGTAGCAAATGTTCGAACAGAGCCAAGCGGCGATGGTCATTAGGAATTTCAGTCCTGATTTGTGTGATAGCGATTGCACTCGGTGTCGCTTGGTCATTGGTCGTCCCGGGTGAGATAGAAAAGCAATTCGTGTTGCAACCTGGAACGCAGATTTACGATACTTGGATCGATCCACCGATCGATAGCTATCTGGAGCTGTACCTGTGGAACTGGACCAATACGGAGGATTATCTTAGCGAAGACTATAAACCTCGGCTCGAGCAGCTGGGACCGTACACGTTCCGAGAGGAAAAAGAACGTGTTGGGCTAGAATGGAACGACGATTACACGCTTACCTTCTACCAGAAGCGCATCTGGCACTATGAGCCACAACTGTCTAATGGAGATTTGGAGAATGATAAGGTTGTGACCATCAATCCTATTTTGCTGGTAAGAACATAGTGTTAAGATCCCCTCATCAACATACTCAAGTATTTCCACTTTAATTAATTCCACGTAAAATTGATCACTATTGATGTCCCTGCTTTTGATAAGGTTGTTTGCCCTGAACTTGCCCTGAGCTAAGTATGTGAAGTGTTTTCAAGCTGAAGCATGTTTAAATTTCACTTGAACTTTGAAAAACATTTGAGATCTCGGACTTGAAATCTTAATTCTGATACTAAAAAAATGTTACGATATCAGAGCGTACACAATCTTGAAGTAACTAAACCTAAAAAAAAAACATTTTTTTTTAAATTTATTCTTTTGATGAATTTATTTAATTTGATCGACTATAGGTATTATTAAACTCGGATCTAAAGCTTTTGCAAATTAAAATTCATTATACAGTGCGATGCATTCGTTTAGTCGCACCAACATATTGCTATATTTCTCTTTGAATTTAAATCCAAATCGCTTCGGCTTTTCCTTATTTTATTTCTCTCTACAAGCTCAAACACGTAACATAGTTTCTTCAAAAATAGTTCTTCTTAAAAAGTTCGAATCATAACAAAAGTAAATAAACAAGGGATTGCATTCGTTTAACAGCACTGTTGAAAAAGTAAAAGAAATTCATTTTTTTCATGAACTTGTTTAGTACTTGGTAGCTCCTCATTTGTTCTCAATGATTTCGAAGATTGACTTGGGCATTGAGGTAACAAGATTCTGGATTGTTTGTGCGTCGATTTGCTCCCAGCATTCCCTTATGCACGCTTTGAGGTCCTTCGCGGTGTTGAACTAACAATCAATTCGAAACTAACGATTTTAAATTGGCTCACTACTTGACTAGCCTATTGGTCCCAAAAAAAAATCGATTAACGGATCCCATTCTAGTATAAATTCCAGTACTAAACTATGTTTGTTTTGATTAGCTATGAAAGTTTCACAGATAAAATGAGGGGTTAGTGGATTTTCCTATGTTTCCACCCCTCGAAACATAGGAAAATCCACTAACTCCTCATTTTATCTGTGATTATCGATTAGCTTGGGACCGAAGAAAGTACCAGAGCTGAGCCAAAAAGTTGAGCTCGTTTCTTCGGGACCTTCTGGTCTTAGAGTTACCTCTATGGTTGAACCACAAACGAAGTTACAGACGACTAACTGGCGAAGAAATCCATTAAAATAATGTGGTTCACTGTAATAGAATTTTCTTGGAAGCTTGTGCCATCATCCACCAGATGGGTTAGTTTTTTTGTTTTGATTTGAACAAAGTTTATTTTGTGTACAATGATTCTTTGACAGTGTGCAAAGAGTGCGTATCATTTTGTAATTTTTGTATGCATTTCAGTTTTGAGTAGAGTGAATGAGATAGAACCAAAACATTCTAGTACATTTGGTGAAAATGCTAGTTCAATCTAATAGTAGTGTTGCCATGTGGTACAATCCAGTAGTAGTGGTGTTGCCATGTGGTACAAATTGCAATAGCAGGTTAGTCACCAAAGTTTTCGAGCCGCTCCGTCTGTCACTTCGTTTGTGGTTGAACTGCGTTCATTTGCGTAAACCTGTGATATCATTATTCCCAAAAGGTTCTCGATAGGTTTACAATTCAGACAACAAGCTGACCATTCAAAAACGGTGATTTTATTTGTCTAAAAGCATGCCTTTGGTTAGCGTGATACATGGATTGAGGCATTATCATGCTGAAAATAGCCAAATCGTTAGTGGTTGAGTTCATTCTCATGGATATCCAGTAAATAGGAAGCTTAGCATCGTAGAAAAATGCACCGTTTCTCCTGCAAAATTTCTCTTGGATCGAATGGCCTCTTTATCCCTTAAATCGTGCCAATAATGGCTATTGCAATCAGGACCATTCAATTTAAACTTTTTCTCATCAGAAAAACTTACGTGGTTCCATTCGTTAGTCCACTGCATGCGGTTCTGTGCAAATTTCAATCGATTGACTTTATGCTGGGATGTAAGTTTCCGTTTTGTCCATTTTATGTGTGAAGACGCATTGATTACGCAACTAACAGTACTTTTGTGCACTGGAAGATCGAGTTTGGTAATAATCTGGCGGCAATTCAATTGACCAAATTTGTCCTTTTTGTCTGGCTGTCAATTTCGGATTCCCCTAGGTACCTACGGTGAATCCATATTCCTTCGGATTTTTTAGATAAGTCCGATCAACCTTTTCTGATCTGTTGATCTTCCGAGCAATCCCACGATTAGATCGACCAGAATCTGCCAGAACCCGGATTTGGTCCTTTTCGATATCGTCAAATCGTTTTATCCATCCCATGCCTGAAAAAATTAAAAAATCAATGACATGTACCTACTGCAAAAATAACAAAGAGGAGACTTACTTCAATGTAGATGTAGTACAAACTTTTGCGAGATATGAAGCAAACATCTACTGCGTCTAAACGTTTGCAACGCGCCGAAAGCAGAAAACATGTCAAAATTAAATCTACTTCCTACTGACAATGGTAGAAGCTGTCGCAAAGAGTTTTTAAAGATGGTTGAGCATCTCACTACCACGTGCATACGTAATGAGATGTTTTACACTGAAAAAAAAAGCGTACGGCTATATTTTTGAAGTGCGGCTAAACAAATGCATCGCACTGTATTAGCCCATGTAGATTGAACATAACCTAATACACTTATTTCCATTGTTTTTCTTCTAGACCGTTGGGTTCACTTTGGTTGATAATCCTCTACTGCGGTTTCTGGATGCTTTGATCAGTATGAATCCACAGATCGTCGAAAATCCATTCTATAATGTTCGAGTGAAAGAGATACTATTCGACGGATATGACGATTACTTCCTCTCATCACTGTTGGAAATTATAGACGAGGTTCCGGAATTGCAAGACATGTTCGATTTGCCCCCATACGACAAATTTGGATGGTTCTACGGTCGAAACGAGAGCAAGACGTATGATGGAAACTTCACAATCGGAACAGGGGTCGATGGCTTAGAGAACATGGGTGTCATGAAGCTGTGGAATGGTGTTAACCAGACGGATTTCTACAGAGATGAATGTGGAAAAGTTTATGGATCTACTGGTGAATTGTGGCCTCCGTTTCAGGAAGGTAGACAACCGAATGTTACGGTTTTCTCATCTGACATTTGCAGCGCTATGAGTTTGGAGTTTGACGGTGAATTCAGTCTACTTGGAGTGGATGGCTTCAAGTGGACAGGAAATGACCATGTATTTGACAATGGGAATAAATACGCCGAAACCAAGTGTCAATGCACTGCTCCCGAAGAAAAGTGCCCAATGTTGAAGCCGGGAACCTTAGATGTTTCACGTTGTAAAATGGGAGCTCCGGCGACCGTTTCTTATCCACACTTCTATTTGTCTGATGAATCGTATCTGAATGCCGTGGAGGGCATGAATCCGAGCAAAAAGGAGCACGAGTTTGTGTTTGCCTTGGAGCCTCATACCGGTATCCCCCTTCAGGTGAAGGCTCAACTACAGGTCAACCTTCAAGTGCAGTCATACGGATTATCGTGAGTTTGAATATTTTATGACATAGTAAGTCTACGAGTGCACCGATGGATTTGAGTTCAAGCACTGATGAAAATTTTGCAGGAGAGTGGGCCAATGTTAACAAAGTAAAAGTACATAGACAAGTGTACCCAGTAATTTGAGCTCAAAAACATTTGACAATAGAGCAGGGCACTAAACTACTAAACTAAACTAAAAGCTCATTATTCTTTATTCATGACACTATACACATGACATATACACTAAATAGTTCATGTTTAGTAAACATTTTCCCGCTCTCTTGTCAAATTTTCATCAGTGTATGAACTCAAATTCGTCACTGCACTCGTCTATGTGAAGCTATTAACGATTTGTATTCACAGCGTACTGAAAGGTATACCCGAGGTGATGCTTCCAGTCTTATGGTTCCGACAAACGGCGGAAGTCACAGAGGACCTTGCCAGTGATTTGAAGGTAAGAAAAAAATTCATGCACAATTTACTACTAAATGGTAATTTGTATAATTTGGAAACATTTTTTTTTTTTTAGTTGTTACTCAGCCTACCAAACATTGGAATCTACGTTGCCATAGGCATCGGCGTTGTTGGAATAGTATGTTTTGCGATATCCCTTTACTTTTCTCTGAAAGTCTGGAAATAAACAGCACGTGCTTTTTTAATTCTCGTTTTATAGTAGGGGAAATACTCCTATTATTGCCGTACGCCTCACTTACTTTTCACCCATCCACGTATCACGAACGGATGTATCATTCACTTACCCACACACTCATATTCCCATTCTTACACTTTCCCTTTGCCATGATCAGGCGATCCAAAAGAAAACTAAGTAGATAAGCGTTAGACCTTGTACAGGCATACAAAGTATGCTGTTGTACGACGGGGACGACTCTATCTACGATGCAGAAAATATTGTGTTTTGCTGTGGCTAGCTGCGCGTACGCTGAGTAGATAGCAAGAAGATTTATCACAATTTTGAAGATTTCCTGCAAAAAAAATGATGCGCGATGCATGTAGATGCGAGAAATGAAAGAAGATTTTTCGAAGATTTATTCGCTAGTGTGAGATTTTTTGAGCATCTAGAATCAAGATTTAGATGTGTCGCCTCCCTCGTGTTGTACAACCAACCGGTGGAAACTAACGATTTTAAATTGGCTCACTATTGGTCCCATGCAAATCTTTTAACGTACCCTATTCTAGTAAGAATTCTAGTACTACACAATGTTTGTTTTGATTCGCTATGAAAGTTTGACAGATAAGATGAGGGGTTCGTGGATTTTCCTATGTTTCGAGGGGTGCAACGATTAGCTTGGGACCGAAGAGAGTACCAGAGCTGAGCCAAAAAGTTGAGCATGTTTCTTCGGGACCTTCTGGTCTTATAGTTACCACTATGGTACTACCATAGAGGTAACTCTAAGACCAGAAGCTCCCGAAGAAACGTGCTCAACTTTTTGGCTTTGTATGTCTGTCGATGGTATTAAGGAAAAACTTTCGCCGCCTTTCACGTTTATAGGGTCGAGGAACTAAGACAATTTATTTATTACAAAATAAATATTTCGCATTTCACACCAAACTGGACAAATAAACGTGTTTTCACTTAATAAAAAGTGTGATAAAAGTTTCGCGTCAAATCGTCTTGATGACTTAGGTGCACTTATTCCTTATGATGCAGCAATAAGTGATTCGAAGACACCAAAACGATTTGACGGAAACGGGTACTTTTATTACACTTTTACGTTCTTTAGGAAAATCATAGTGGAACGTATTTCACTATTAAAGTAACACCAACAATCAATACGAAACTAACGATTTTAAATTGGCTCACCACTTTAGTAGCCTATTGGTCCCAAGCAAACGATTAACGTATCCTATTCTAGTTGAAATTCTATTACTACACTATGTTTGTTTTGATTCGCTATGAAAGTTTGACAGATAACATCAGGGGTGTGTGGATTCATGCAGAACATGCAGGGGTGAGTGAAATAGCTTGGGACTGCTTGGGACCGTTGTTCTGGTACTGAGTGAGCCAAAAATAATAATGATTTTCTTCGGGACCCAGTGGTCTTAGAGTTACCTCTATGATAATAGGGGCCTGATTCTCCTGCCGATAAGCTACTTTCCATACTGAACCAGAGTAGGGATGAAGATTTGTCTACGATGAATGATAACCTTAACTAACTCTTGTTTAAGCTAAATACAAAGCTGGCAGTGGATAGTGCCTAAAAAGTAGTGACTTTAGTGGCCAAATAGTTCAAAAAAGTTACTTAAGGTTACCAAAAAAGTGACCGAAAATTGCGAAAAAGTTACTCGCGTGCTGTCGGGTTGATTTCAACCAAGGTTGCAGATACTCATTTCAGCTAAAACATTTTTTTTAAATTATGAAATAATTAGATGCTATGATCATATTTTGAATTGGAGCTTGAGCTTGAGCTTGATTGACCGCCCACGGTTGCTACTCTGTTACTGCCAGATCAGCTGTAAGTACACAGAGAACCAATAGACGATGCTTGGGACTAGCAATCATCCTCAATGTGTAAAAACTGGTGATCTTAAATTAGGCAATACCAGCACCGGCCGCGCCCGAACACAGGTCAAGAAAGGAATGGGAAGGATTGTGTTGACATGACACTCGCTTTGATGGAAGCCGAGAACACCTCTGCACTTCCACGAGGAATCACTGGGATGTTGGATAAGAGGGTTGGGTTTGCAGCAGGGTTTGTTTTGGTAAACGATAAGCTGAATTGATGTCTAAACGATCATATAACGCGAAGGAGCTTGGGATTAAACCCACGGTCTTCTGCTCAGTAAGCAAAAACGTTTGCCACTAGGCAGACGAGCACCTTTTTAATCACCGAGGTGCTGTTATTACCATGTAGTCATATTAATAAATAAAACGATTGACGAATCTTGAATGTGGATGGGCCTGAAATTAGACTCATGATGATCTGCTCAGTAAGCAAAAACGGTTGCTCTAAGGCCACCGAGCCCCTCATATCACATAATACCGTTGCTCAAATCTGTGTATCCATTCAAACCCGGAACCAACGACAACAACGAGTTTCGCAAAATATACGATACACAAGCGATTTTACCATAAATCTCTTTGATATGTAAGGACCTGGGACCGCGTTTTTCTGCTCAGTAAGCAGGCCACTGTAACCGACGATCTTTCAAATCCGAAAACTAAAAACTACGAAAAAGTACTTGGGCCTTCATTAAGTTCCACTTTCACGCGACGTTCAATGACAGGGTCCTATCCAGGATTACATCTGAAAAATCCAAATCTGGCCAACGCCCACCCTAAACCTAAACCTGTTCTAATCCACCTGAAATGACTAACGAATGGAAGACTTTGACTACCCAGCCATGCAATAGTCTCATTCCGTGCCTTATGGCAACTTGATGATTCTATTGCGCTCATCTTTTGGCACCACCCAGGGGAGACTTGGTCCTGTACCCAATGCTTAACTTATCTCCATTCCACTCAGCTACTCGCAATTTCTTGTGATATAGTGGGCGGAATATTATTATATGAGACAATTCAATGCAGACATCTTTCCAACTTTGGCAGATCGACAGGTAATCGGTGAGTTACCACGATAGTTGCTATTCAACAACTCGACAACGTCCCATCGTCAGCGCCTGCTATGAGAATTTCCCATTGCAGACGCCAACGAAATGACGTCATCGAGCTATCGATCAACTACCCTGGTTATCGCCTGGTACCTTATAGCACGATGCTAGGAGGCGAACCGGAAGAATCGATGAGCTAACTCTCCCCCGCTATGATCATATTTTGAATTGGTAAGATAAAAGAAGAGGTTGCAAAGAATGTGTTAACCTGTTTATTTCACTTCATGAGAGTCACAATCAGCGATTTTTCACACACTCACTCAGCGATCAGCAAATCGCTGATTGTGACTCATGGAAAGCAAAATTTACAGGTATCATGTTTCAAACGCATACTTTGTAACCTCTTCTTGTAAGTTACAAGTAAAACATGTCATCAACCATCTTTTGGATTTATTATTCCGAAAAACATTATTTTAACTGAAATGAGTCTTTGCAACCTTGATTTCAACTTGCAGAACACGGCGGCTCTTTTAAAAGCGCTTTTTCATGCTGGAAAATCTCCCCTCAGTTTTGGATCATCTTAAAAAGTTACAGACCGCCCAGAAAAAGTATAACGTCATGCTTATTTCATAGCTTTCAGCACAGCAATCTCCATAAATGCTCAGTGGCTTGTATCGAGATTTCGGACTTAAAGCTTAAAGTTGCTGGATTAATAAATCATGGTCTCTAATTCAAACTGGAATTAAAATCATGCATTGCGAAAAAGAACACAGAAAAAAAGGTCTCAATTTAAATGGAACCTACCTTGAATAATTTTATATTCTTGATTTTTTTTTTCATGATTCCGGGCAAAAAAAAATTGGTGTTTTAGAAAACTCAATAAAACATAGATTGAATTCTATAAATTTAATATTCAGCATGTAGAAAAATTTGCAAAACCTCAGAAAAAAATCCTATACCCTGGATATTTGTACGTCAAATTTTCAAATCTGATCTAATCAAGATTCTACACCTAGAAATTGTTCAAGAACCCACACTCAAACAAAAATTTACAGAATAAATCTTAAGATTCCGGAGCTTAAATAAAACAAAAATATCCTGACTCAACACAAATTTTCATAATTGAACCAAATAACATTTCAGATCCTACTTAGGGATTTGAAAAAAAAATGCAAGAAATTATTTTTTTTTTTCAAATTCCGTTGTTGTCTAAATTAAGATTTGGAAGCTTAAACATTCTTAAGATTCCTATTTTTAATTGTTGACTTTGCAAAAAGAATAAATCGAGGTCCTGAAACATCGAAAACTTGCTAAGATCCCTGACTTGAAAAAAGTTTGAAATTTAAAAACTAGGTAGAACTGAGCAGTTCCACACCAAATGTCTAATCGATCAGACTCCGATTTGCATTAAACGTTGTTGGTTATGGGAAATCATTCACATTGGTGCTAAAATTCGGTCATTTTGAATCTTGAACTTTTTTTTTTCAAAATGCCGAATTCGGTATTCTCTAAAAATCGCAGCAAGAAATCGTCACTTATTATCAAAATGACTCTGAGATATATTTTAAGGGAAAACTAATGTCTTTATAAGTAGAGAAAATATAGATGTGTAGAACATCCAAAAAAGTGTTGGAAGCAATTTAATATGTTTTTGTTTGAATCACATAAATCAATTCGATGCTAATTTTGGAAAACAGCAAAAAACCGAACCGAGTATGTGGTTGCTCAACAAATTAATATGTTGAACCCTAATTTAAGGAGGTCTCTCTCATTCAACTTTTATGATATTTGTAAGAGAGCTGCATTAATCTAAGCTAATACAAAAACTGCTAAAAGGTCGTTTTCTTACAGTTTCCCAAACAAATTATTCAATTGGTGGGTGTTATGTCAAAGGGGACTAAGTAGCGAAATTTAAAAAAAAAAATATTAAATGGTAGTATTAGGTCAAGAATTTCCTCAGCTACATTTCACGTTTGTCAGATTTGGCAAATGTTACAAACAACAAAGGACCAGTGTATAATGAGTCACGCCAAGAGAAAAACAGTTGAACTCACATCACGGTTTACGAAAG